TGCGATTTCTACTTATCGTAATAAACCAAGATGGGAATAATGTACCTATACTGTTAGATTTATAACTCAGTGCAACTACGGTTATCGTAATAATTAAAAACAGAATGCCTACTATTGAAATACAATTATACTTCATTAGAATACCTACGGTTCGCAGCTACAGAACACGGTACGTTGCTATCTGTTCATGTAATCGCGTAAACAACAGTTTCCCAGACGCCGCATTTACTCCTAAAAGTTTGCCCTTAATTCCTAACTTAGCACGTGTTACTAACGTCACTGGAACACAATCGCGTTACAACAGAAGGAACACAGATTCATTAAAAAAGTGTTTATTAAACAAAAATTAGATTTGAGATGTACAGATAATTCACATGAGTAGTCCTCCGTCACTGTCAGTAGGTTCCATCTGCGTACCAGCACATATATGTTTCTCCATAAGCCTGAAAAGGTTTAAGAAAAGCATTATTAACTTAGGTGGTACATGTATGATCTGAATAAAAAATGTTTCTTCATAAGCATTTACAAGTAATCACTTCACAAACAATATATATAAGTAGCTAAATAGTTTTCACTAAACTCAAGGGACTTCACAATTTATCGTCGGTCGATATCAAGTAGGTCCATCGAAGCATCATGAAATGAAAAATTATTTAACGACAAGTTATGCAATAGTTTCCAAAGCTTGAACAAAGATTTTAACAAAAGTGACAACAGCTTTATGACAAATAATACGAGTTCTGACAGCATTAATAATAATAACGTTCATGTTCATAGTGACTATAAAAGCAATAATAGGTATTATTATCGCAACGAATTCATCATTAACTTAGATAGACAACTACTTATTATACAATCATATCAATTAAATGTATCACTTAATCTTATGAAGCAGGTGTTTACTTACTTTCACTGCATTCTCGCAATACTGATGTGGTCAACTAGCTTATTCCAAATGAACTCAAGATTAATCCTGAAAGGGAATGGAGACCCAGTTTATTTCAACTAAAAACATGTAGCCTACATGTATTACACTGCTTACTGAGACATTTGATACCTGCTTTCCGATCTTCGTGACAGGAAAACAGTAAATGTAGGTTTACCTACATATACTGTTTTGATCTTGATATGGGATGAATTCATTGAATTCAGCAAATAAATCCTCTGGTTTATCAAATCTATCATGAGCTGTAATAGTATGTGCTGTCAATTATGCACCCGACGTGATAAAACGCTCCTGGCAATTGCGAACTTAACCAAACAGTTAAATGATGTTTGAAATTACCGCAGCTCGAATGACAAACTGGCCAATCACAAGCGAGCAAATCACTTGTTTATCTCACTCGCGGGCACTCAAAATTACGGCCGTCGACAGGCTCCCCTTTACGTTAAGTTGATAAACACGTAGAAAGCTATATAAAAACCATTTTAGATCGTCGACAGCGCTTGTATAAGATGCTGTACAGCGTCTTGTTATGGTGACAGTGGATTTTATCAAGGATTCTGAGCCATTACTAGCCAAACCTTGAGGGATAATATACGAGTAAGTGACTTCAATTGTTTCTCAGCTTCAGTCGGAATGTAGATCAATGCAACTTGTACTACAAAGTAAATACAACAGAAATGTACCAGAGGAAAAAGAAAGAGTATGTAGATTGGGAAATATTTGTTTATATTCGTTGTACATTGTAATTTGATGAACAAAAATTTGTTTCTACTATGTCTTTTTATGCATTTATGCTACTAGTTTATTTATAGTCTTCAGAGAAGTAAGAGTATTTAAGCGCGCTTAGGTACTGTAGTAGACTAATAGTTGATTCGTTCTAGGAATAAATAGTTTATTTATATAGTCGGTAGAGTGAAGTAGTGTGTACAGAGAGCGTTTGAAACTTAAAAACTGTATTGCAGTTCCTGACATCTAGGGGTAGATTGTTCCATATTTTAGAATACATGACTGTGAAGAAGTTTTCGCGGAGTGTTGACTTAAAGGCTTTTATTGTCACTGTGCAATTTTGGTTACGCAGATCGTAAGAGCCTTCTTGTGCGAATTGTATGTCCTTACTGTCTGAGAATGATATTTTGTGTAGGACCTTATAGAAGAATACTAGGTTTATAATTAGTCGTCTTGTCCAGAGTGGGTCAAGTTGTAGAATCATGCACCGTGAGATGTAGTCTTTCTTACATTCGTAGACAAGTAGTTTTGAGGTAAAATATCGTTGGATACTTTCAATTCTTAGCTTTTCACGCGTGTGAGTGCTGCTAATAATAAATGGACAGTATTCTAGTAGTGGCCTCACACAGGTTTTGTACAGAATGAGCTTTGCTTCATTGTCGTGAAAGTTCCTGAGTATGCATCCTAAGAGCATCCTCGACTTTTGAGTCTGTGATGCCACTTGCTCAGAGAATGTTAGGTTACTCGAGTACCTCAGACGACACCTCAACGACACTTTGGAGTTTGGTTAGGTTAGCCGGTTGAAGCGTTAACTTCATGTCGACTGAGGGTGCACCGAAGCAGATCCAGCCATATTTTTTAAGGTTAAATTGGAGGTTCCGTAAAGACGACCAAGCAGTCACTTTATCTAGTTCCTTTTGTACAACATTCCGGAAGTACCCTAGGTCATCAGATTGGAATGTATAAGCTACTTTGAGGTCATCTGCAAAGATGAATGGTTTCCCATGAGAAAAGCAAGCGCATATGTCGTTAATATATAGAGTAAATAGAAGGGGTCCAATGACACTACCTTGTACTACACCAGAGGTGACTGGGCTAGGTTTCGAAGTTAAAGATCCGAGTTTAACTATTTGGGACCTATTGTTAAGGAATGATTTAAGCCATCCTAATAGTGGGTCACGTATTCCTAAGGATTTCAGCTTATGTATCAGTAGTAAATGGTCGACACGGTCAAATGCCTTTGAGATGTCAAAGTAGATGACAAGTACTAGTTGTCGTCTGTCACGACTGCTGGTCACAAAGTTAAAGAAGTCTAAGTGGCATGTTAAACAAGATCTGGATTTTAGGAATCCATGTTGGTTCGGACTTATAATGTTGCAGCTAAGCATATGCTTCATTAGGTTGTTATAACCTGTTTGCCACACTTGAGACTCCTGGGACCAGGGAATTATATAACACTGCTAGGAATAAAGCTGTTGCAGAAATCCGCCAATCAAGGATGAAGTTCGAAGCACATCTGGCTCAAAATGCAGAGGCACAAACTAAGAAAATTTTCTCGTAGATGAACTTCAGGAATAAAACATCCAGTGGTGTCCCAAACCTAACTATTGACAATGAAACAATCGGAGAAGACCAAGAAAGAGCAGAGGCAATGGCAGACTACTTCTCTCAAGTTTTTACAGAGGAGTCATCACCCTTATAGGATCAGCTCTGGTTGCATCAGAAGAACACGGGGTAGATTCCGTTGATATCGACCAATACATCGTGCTCAACTGCCTAATGGAACTAGATGCAGGGAAGTCAGTGGGCCCTGATAATCCCATCCAAGGCTTCTCAAGGAGCTATCAGCTCACATAATCGGCCCTTTGACCACGATCTTCAAGCTCCCCCTCCTAACTGAAATGTTGCCGCGTGACTGGAAAGACGCCATAGTAACCCTCATCCACAAAGGAGGATCAAGACAAAGCCCTTCAAATTACAGGCCTATCAGTCTCACCAGCACTTTAATCAAGACGCTGGAAAGAATCATCAAGAAAAGAATCATGGCATATCTGGAAAACAGCAAGATGTTATCCCGAGCACAGCACGGCTTCCGAAGAAACCTCTCATGCCTGTCAAATCTCCTCACTTCAAGAGAAAGCTGCGTCAAATCAAGGGACAACAGAAGACCCGTTGACGTCGTCTTCATGGACTTCAGCAAAGCCTTTGATAAAGTACCTCACAAAAGACTACTCATGAAGTTGGAAAGTCTTGGTATCAAAGGTAGATTACTAAACTGGCTCAGGGAATTCTTTATGGATAAGAGGCAGAGGGTTAGGATCGACTCGAAACTCTCCTCTTGGACAGCAGTACGTAGCAGAGTGCCAAAAGGCACGGTACTAGGACCTCTTCTATTTATTTTGTATATCAATGAGTTATCTCTGCTCGCCGACTCCCCTATGGTCCTATACGCAGATGACTTAAAAATTTCGAGAGAGCTGAAGGGCAACAGTGACACGTCCACGTTGCAAGAGGACCTCAACAAATTGTCGCAATGGTCCATAGAATGGATGCTCCCGATCAATGTAGAAAAATGTGCAGCCATGCACATCAGACAAGCAAGCACCAGCTCCTACGAACTAGAGAGAATAACACTCCCATCAGTTCAGACTCATTTGGATTTAGGTGTCATAGTTAGTCACGACTTAAAAACTACAGCACACTGTCACGCGGTGGTTGCGCGCAGTTTGAGATCCTTATGGGCAATTCGCAGAGCCTTCACTAGATTCACCAGAGATATGTTCACCTCCTTATATACATCTCTGGTGAGGTCAAGACTGGAAAACTGCATCCAGGCCGCCAGCCCTTGTCTAAAAGGGGACTCACACATTCTAGAAAGTATTCAAAGGAAGGCGATACGTATGGTTAACGGCATGACTAACTTATCATACGAGGAAAGACTAGACAGTTTAAATCTCTTCTCCCTGTCATACCGTAGGCATAGAGGAGATTTAATCGCAATGTTTAAAATTATAAATAATGACTACGGACCTGACCTAGTTTTTCTTTTCCTTCCCACCAGGGCGGAACACCTTACAGGACATAGCAGGAGAGTTCAAAAGCCAAGAAGAAATCATATTGCTGTTGAGTACTGGTTTTCACACCGAGTCATAAACTTTTGGAATCAACTCCCAGAAGAATTGGTGTCTGCAACCTCAACTGATTCATTCAAGATGGGTTTGGAAAACCACAGAAATTTACTAGAAAAGGATTAACACAGGCTCCAAGCCTTCTATCCTCAACCAATAAATCCGAATCTGAAATCTGTAATGGATATTGGTAATATAGAGCGCACGTTTTAAATTATTGCGCTAGAATTGACCTTTGGCTTCGTTCTTATTTCCGTTCGAGGTTCATTGTGAGTCATTGTCTTACCTCCTATCTTTTTCACCTATTCAGTTCAATTTCATTTACATTCGCGCGAATTTTTTTCAATGTAGAGTGTTATGAACTACAGAACGTGAATAAATTCACCAATTGGCGAAATTAAAAGATATTCCAGTTGGACAAAAAGAATAATTAAATAGTGCCTAGATGAGTCCGATTTCGGGCGATTGTTGGTTAAATGATGGTCGAAAGGGAAAATATTGTCAAAAGAGTGGTTAAAATTGGAATGTAATGTTTAAAATAATAGGAAAATACTGGTTGAATGTTGGTAGAATACTGGGGGAATTGTAAGGTGACGATGGTTCACTCATGGTGAAATATTGGTTTAATTTCGGTCAAACAATGGTCAGAATGCGAAAATTATGTCATATTACCAAAGTTCGCCCATTTTTCCTTCGAATGGCTATGCTCATTATTCACCCATTTTTCACCTTTTTTTCCGACGGCATTTCAGGCGTGCTTCATGGGAGTATCACTACTCCTCTGTCTGTATTATGATGAAAAGAGATTTGAAATTCCTATAGGCGGGGTTATTAAGTTCTATGACTAACTATATTGTTTGTACCTGTTCTATTATATCTGTATACAGAATTAAAGGTGAAGTCTGTTAAGTTTGTGAGACACCCTGGGGCGTGATTTGGTCAGGGCTTCATAACGTATTAGGTCCTAGGTTAGTAAGTTCGCCAAACGCAACCCCACAATCCACGGAAGTAGGAGCTACATGAGGGCCTTCGACGCTTTATGCTACAACATCTTTGTTACTGCCAATGTAAAATATCTTGCTAAAGTAATTTAGTATATCTCCAGCTTTCTTGGTTTGATTTTGCTAACCCGTCATTTTTATAAAAGCATTGGATGCGTCAGTGTTTTTTTCTAATATATCCAGTTGCAGACTGTTTTTCATAATGAATACGTCATTCAGTGATAGGTCTTGAAAAATCCCAAATTTTGCATTATTCTTTCTAAAACGTGACATTTTCCATGCCGATAAATCGTTTGTGAAAGCGTTTTCTATTGCTTATCGACAATAGTGAGCTTAACATTACTTATACTTTTTTCAACCCCAATAAGGCTTTTTCAATGACTTTTTCGATAAAGCGATAAATACAAAGGCTATGAAGTAAAAGAAGGAAAAATTACTATATTGCCGTGACAGATATCTTGTTACTGAACCTATTTTTAAGAATCTCTAAGTTTTGTTTCTCCTTTTTTTCAATGGTGTATGACGTGTATGCTTAAAAAGAAAGTTACTTCGTAGTTTCTCCTTTCTCTTCCCGTGCTAAGTGTAACGTTTCACACTGGTTTAGCTTTGTGTTGGGTTTTGTTCTGCTCAGTCGACTTATTAACAAGACAGGCAAAGTCAAACTATCATAGCCAAAACGACGCTGACCTTGAACAACCAATCCGAATTCAGGTGCGAAAAGTTGGATAATCGTTAAAAAAATACACTAAAAATATTGCTAACATGATATTACACTATATAGTTGTCGCTTACGTGTTGTAAGAATGTCTCCAAGTCACTACACAAATGATCTATACAGAAATCATAAATGCATTCATCCAGGTGACTGTAGGTCATATTACTTTGAGATCTATTTATATTTCTGACACTGTCCTTTGACCTATTCCTTACTCTAACCATAATCCTAACCTTAACCGTAGACCCTAAATCCTAATCTCCAAAGCCATAACCCTACGTAACAGTATAGATTTACAGAAAAAGTACCTAGGGAATAAGTGGAATACTGTATCTACCTTCTCCAAGTCCAGAAAGGCAGGCTTGATTACATCTAGAATGACTTTTCATGGCATTCTCCGTATCTGATTGGTTCTCGAAGGTCAAATCTTGAAAGACCTTGGCTTTGGCTATGATACTTTAACTTCGCCCCACTTGACTAGTTGATATAAATTGTCAGTCATTCATGTACATATCCCCTAATAGAACTTTAATCCAAAATTAATGGAGAGTAAGACTATTTACTAAGTTTTAAGAGTCTATGTTGTACTAAATGAAAAAAGTTCCATGTCTTAACCAAGTCAGATATCTTTGTTGATTACTTTGCAATTGCTTCCTTCACTTTACCGATAATCTACATTAACTTCAGTTTTTGAATTTCTATATTATGGCTATTAACTCAGTTTTCAGTACTCAGTGTACTCTGTCACCTTTTATCTCAGTAATAATTTTTGTTTTGTAAGTAGAAATACTTGCTGAATTTCTATATGTATGCGTGGCATTTGACTTCATCAGTCAACAGGTTTTGTAGAGATATCACTGGTTGTATGGCTTGTTTGACTAATAAGTCATGTTGCTAAGAATCTTATGCCAGGATAACCGTTGTTTTGTTGTAGCTTACTGCGAACTGTCTCTTAAGGTGCTTGTATATGTCGTGGCATGTATCCAGCGTAGTTGTTTAATTATACCAGAGGTGTATTGACAAATATCTCCTTTTCGAACCACGACTGGTGATTCAGCATTAAACTTTGCGCTGATGTCCGTCATTTCAAATCACTCTGTTTGAAAAAATAAACAAAAAATGAATTTGATATCAGCCTCGCATATATCCTAATCGGCACAGATACTTTTGTTCTATATTATTTTCAAAATTCTAACCATTTAAACTCGTCTTCAATGTAGTTATCGTGTTTCTTATGCATTTTTCTGTCATACTTTGTTTTCTGAATGCTATTGGAAACAGTGGTAATTTGAACGGTTTTACTTCGGTGCAGAGTTCATGTGGTATGTTAATAAAAGTCCGAGTGGCAGTTCTAATCTAACTGCTTATTGCTACTTTAGGATTGGTGTATGTTTACACGACGTCCGACATTAGATAGCATCAGTCATTCACCTGTAAATTCATATTAACCCTGGTGAGTTTGCTAAGCTCGACCCGACCATGAGTCACATTTATGTGTGTAGACTGAAGATACTATCCAGTTACATAGGCTGAAGTAGATGGAGCAGGATTTAAACCTGGGACCTAATAACTGAAAACCGAGTGTTCAGGCCAATAAACACAGACACGAACACTGGAGTGTTTCCTCACAAACATGAAAGGGCAAATACGAACATCTGGCGCTTACAACCAAACTAGTGGACATACAAGTCTACCTGAGGAGCTGGGAAATCCTGATTTCAAACCCCTATTGTGTACATGGTCTCCAGAATCCGGACGGGCTGAATATCGTATGAACCTGTTTCGGTCACTGGAAAACATGGGGATGTAGTTCCTGACTGAGCCTCATCGTCTTGTAAGGCCACGTGCTGCGCATGCATAACCATCGTCTCCCGACGGCATTACTAGCTGATATAGGTGCAGTGGAAAAGAAAGTGTGCAAAACAGCTCATCTGAACCTACAGTAACTGTCAGTAGGAGATGCAATTCGGGTTGGGCCCGCCCTCGGGACTCTAAGAATCAATGGCTGGAGACAATAGGTGACATGCCTCAAAGTCGTTGTCAATGGCTTACGCAGATGTATTCAGTCTCTGTAATCTTTCATACTCCTTTCTACCATTACTCATTCTGTTTCACTCTTATACTTATCGAAATTCTATTGATTCTCTTCTCTCATTTTCTTGTCTACCTTTGTGTGCTATTTGGAACGTGGCAACTCGAACTGCTGCACTTCGGTGCCAAGTTCTATGTTGAATCCAGCAGCAGCAGCAGCATCGTCTTGTAAATCAGACTTCAAGTCAAAGGCTTGGAGGGTGAGGAAGCTCCTTCAAACACCCACCTGCTCCTCCTTGGCCATCCTCACAGTATCTCACCCTTTCCACAAATAATGTGTTTTTGTGTGGCATGTCTCTTTGGTAACTATTGTGTACCAATTTTGTTTTTATTAGTCATAATGTTTTCTTTCTTTTAAACTTCAGATAAACTTCCCCTCGTCTCGCTCTGTCTCTCTCTCGCCTGACATAAATGGAGCAAAGAATAAAAAATGCAGTGAAACGATTAGATCAACTTGATCAAAGGCTAGACGATTATAAACCATTACTTGAACAAAATGTTCTTAATGCTGAATTTGAAATAAGAGCAAATTTTAAAAATTTAATCGAATTATTAAGCAAACGACAATCTCATCTACTTATTCAATTACATAATATTTCTAAAGAAAAATCTTTATTAATTGAAAGGTTGGTTACGATTTTGCTATAATTATTACTGTTATTATTATTATTATTAATTATTATGTTTTCATTCGTTTTTGTTCTGATTGGAATGTAGGGTGCCAAAGTTTAAGTGTAAAGTTTCACTAGAACTTGTGTTGCTTTTATGGGTTGGTGGTTGCTAGTCAGCCTCAAATCGAAGCTTCCTTTTATGGTCTTACTACCTACCGCTTACTTCACTCATTTGGAAAGTTGCATCAGCCCCAATGGGTTGATCGCTGACGAAATCTCAGCACGGATACAGAAAGCTAGTTCTGTATTCGCATACCCACTTACACCATCTCTGGTGTAGACGGGATATCCGGCTAGTTGTCAACCAAAGGACGTGTTTAGTGTTCAGCAGTTCGTTCTGTCCTCCTCTATGACTGGCTGTGAGACATGATTATTGAGAGTGGGAGACATGAAAAGGCCGGCTAGTTGTCTTTGATCATAGGTATCTGCGTTCTGTTTATCTCCGGTGTTAGGTGGTTTAATAAGGTGAGCAATGTTGAGGTTAGGCTTCGATCGAGTGCTACGTATGGGGGGACCAATCGACGAGGTTGTGAATACACATCAATTGAGAGAGATGGTTAGGACATGTGTTACTCACGCCTAGCCTAGTCTAGCCATCGCCTTCCTCAACGAGCAAGGCGATATTAGCTGACATAGGATGGATCAGGTTGGGAGAGAGAAGGCTAGTGGTGGTGGTCAAACGAAAACATGACTTCATCAGTCAATGAAATCCATAACAGTTAGTTTAAGCCAAGTAGGAAGGTGTAGACTTCCTGGTTGGGGTCCTCGGGACGGTTGTAAACCAATGAAGGCTGGAGACAATTGGTGATATGGCTGGTTCAAAATCGTTCTCTATGGTTAGCGCAGATGCATCCACTCCTTGTGACTTATAATATCGAATAAAACTATATTCTTCTTCCATATTACCATTCTTTCTCCCCCACTCCCTCTTGTGTGCATTATCTCTCTTTTTAACTTCTCGTTACTCTCTACTGTTGCTTTGTGAGGTAAGTGGAATGTGGCAAGTTGAATTGGTGCACGTCTGTTCAAAGTTCTATGTTAAAACCAGTCAGTCAGTAGGATTTTGCACAGAAGTACTGCAGCATTTCAAGTTGTCATACTCCCTCCATGTATACAAAGCAAGAGAAGAGAGTAAAGAGAGATTTAAAAGAGAGAGAGAGATAATAGACAGAAGTGTGAGTGAGAGAAAAAGGATAGTATTATAGAAGAACAATAGAGTTTTATTGGATATGATAAATCACAAAGATTGAATGCATCTGCACTATACATTGACAATGATTTTAAGGCATATCACCAATTGTCTCCATCCATCGGTTATTGAAATTCCAACAATCCCAACCAGGTAGTGTGCATCCCCCACCCCGTACCACCAGTCGGAGACTTCATGGATTGTTGTTAGATTTCGATCTGACCACCTCCCTAACTCTTTACCAATCGAATCCTATGTCAACTAACTTCATCTGAAGTGGTGACCACTTGTGGTGTCCGTCAGGGATGCCCATTATCCCCATTTCTATTCAATTTCATCATAGATGTACTAATGAAATTAACACTAACTCACTTCAGAGACTCAGGGATTGACTTGCTACCAGGGAATAATCTCGTTGACTTAGAATATGCAGACGATATAGTCCCAGGCGAGGATGCTGACAAAATGCAGACTCTTCTGAACACTTTGAGCTGCAATCTACGTATGTTTGGCATGCGATTCGCTCTCGCTAAATGCAGGATGATGTTACAGGACTGAACTACACTGACTCCTAGTTTAGAATAAGGAGTGAAGTGGTAGAGCACGTTGACCGCTGCACTTATTTGGGAAGTACCATCAGCCCCAACGGGTTGATCTCTGACAAAATCTCAGAACGGATACAGAAGGCACCTTTCACATATGCCAGTTTACACCATCTCTGGCGTAGACGTGATATCCGGCTATCGACCAAAGGGCGTGTGTACTGCTCAGCAGTCTGCTCCGTCTTTCTTTATGACTGGCGGTGGATCTAGCCATTGAGAGTGAAGGATATGCAATGACCAGCTAACTGTCTTTGATCATAGGTGCCTGCGTTCTATTTCCGGTGATGCATGCTATAATAGGGTGAGCAATATTGAGGTTAGGCATCGGTCGAGTGCTAGGAAAGGAGGGGAAATCAATCAACGAGGCTGTGAAATTACATCGACTGAGATGGTTAGGACATGTGTTACGTATTAATGCCTAGCCATCGCCTTCCTCGACGGGCAATGTTAGCTGATATAGGGTCAGGTTGAAAAAGAGCTAGCGGCGGTCAAACGAAAACATGGCACCAGTCAATGAAATCCACAACAGTTAGTCTAAGCCACGTAGGAAGGTATAGACTTCCTGGTTCGGGTTCTCGGGACGGTAAAACCGACTGGTTGGAAACAATTGATGATACGGCTGACTCAAAATCGTTCTCAATTAATGGTGCAGTTGCATCCACTCCTTATGACTTATGATTTCCAATGAGACTGTTTTGTTCTTCGTTATTACTATTCCTTTGTCTCACACCTCTGTTTACTGTCTCTATTATGCATTTCTTCTACTTTCTTCTCTTACTTTGTATGCTACAAGGAGGGAGTGTGGTGACTTGAACTGGTGCACATATGTGCAAAGTTCTATATCGAAAACAGACAGACACCATCTTATTATCCTATAGACAAAACACCATCATTGGTTTATATTTGAATTTTTATTTGTAAACTTATGTATATTAAGGTTAAGCTTGATGAGATCTAATTGAAAGCACAATATTGTTCGCTTAAATGTGTTCTTCTAAAATATTATTATTATTATCACCATAATTTCTATTTTGTCTGTTTTTCCTGTTTTTATCTTTTAGTAATAAACAAAAAATAGAATCCCTGAAATCAATTCTGCTACAATCTTGTCTATCAAGAAGTGAATATGATGCCAAAATAAACGACTGTCTACGTAAAGCTGAATCGATCAGTTTAACAACTGATTTTACACCATTCATCACCTTCTCCATTGAAAATGTACAATTGACTGAGTTTATTTCAACATTTGGTCGACTGACTTGTCGATATTCTGGTCATTTTGCTGATCCAAATAAGCCGTCGATTTGTTTACCACGTGCATTTGAAGAAGAAGATGATGGTTGTTGTGGAGAGAATAATGACACTAGAATTGATTATTTAAAGCATCATTCATCTGTATTTAATCGTGTTAAACAGCAACAACAGCCCCAACAGCAGCAGCACCAACAACAACAATGCGCTTGTCATGATCCAACAGTGAAACAATGGTTATCCTTGATTGAACATAAATGCAAATCAAATCGTACTTATGATATGATGAGTGATGTGTATTCAGTAAAGGATAATAGTAATAATAATAATAAAACAATAGGAGTGGAGTAAACACTCCTGCTCTTCAGAGTAATAATTATTCATTGTGTGTAAGTTGAAAACGCCTTTTGTTTGTTTGTATGTTTGTTTTTGGTTTGGTCACAAGGTAACATTAATTAGAGAACGAGGGAGTACTAGACAACCGTTTCTGTTTCTTCCTGGTTTCGCACTCTTCAACTGTGCGCACCCTCCGGGTTTCTTCGAATCTAGAACCATCCGGTTACAAGTCAAGTTCGTAAGCTATTCCAGCCACTGGGTCACCCGATCCAATGGCCCGTGAATTCCAATTTTTAGCACTTCGTGATGTTTTTTTTAACGCGACCACTAGCCAGTGTCATTGGGCAATTTGTCTTGTAACCAACCAGTTACTAGCGACATCAGATCATTTTGAGAGTTAGTTAGTTTGATTTGTTTCAGGTTTGAACACGAGCTGACATCAGTGAGAGTTCCAGTGGAAAACTAGCACTATACTAGAGTAGTAAGCAGTTTGGGACTCATCATCAGTATGCACCCACCAGGGTTCGAACCCAGGCTAACTTGAATTATCGGCTCCAGTAATGGCAATTCCTGATCCAACCTTGAGGTCAGTCAAATCCATATAAACCAAAACTTTAAAATTAATCTGATACTCACTAATGACTGGCTGTATGCAAGAAGTTACCTGGAATTCTGTTGTGAAGTCATGGTCAATAGAGGGTTCACCAAGTCAGGTAAACGAATAGTTACCCCCCTGTGAAACTTTGGCTAGTGGTTGCGCAATATGTGTGGCGAATTGGCAGAAGTTGGTATTCATGATCTATTGGATGGGATCGCAGTGGCTTAACAGTCCACGAGGTCGCCTTGTATCCTGTTGTTTCGGTTGATGATGACTGGCATTGGAATCTAGGATGCGCATTTCGTCCTATTTGGGTCTCGTCAGTTGGATGTGCCTATATACCCTCACCCTCATCTCCCACAGTGGGTGATAGTGTTCCTCGTGAGACTGGGACCCAGCGTCCATTGCTTCAAACGTATTATTAGTGGAAAAATCATCACTCACCCCGTCAGGGGGAGGGGGGAATATGGTAGGTAAATCCAGCTCACGACCACATAGATATTACGTATTTCTTCCTGTAATAATAATTTGAGTTCCGAGTCTACCAACAATTGATCTTCAAAGGAGAGTTCATTTTAATTTATGTAATTTTTGACTGTATATGGCAAAGTTGAACTTCAAGCACCACTAACTACCAATCAGCGAACGACCTTCAACGGATCAATCACATGTAAGAGGGATTTTCGATAAAGAAAAACGTATATTTATGGAAAAAAACATAAAAGCTGCATAAAACTGTTACATAGGGTACCTTTCTCTAACATGTGACACAGACATCTCCAAGTTTAGCATAGGAGTGTCAACAGAATAGTCACACCACATTCTGTACATATATTCATCCAATTGACTATAAATGAGATCCTTTTGAGATCCATTTATGGCCGTAATCCTATTTTTCAATCTTCCCCAAAATCCTTCTATAGAATTTGTGTGCGTCCCCGTAATGGGATCCAAAAAATCACTGGAATGGTTCACTCTGTGATGAATATATCCAAGAGTTGGCAGCGAATTATAACCTTTCCATTCATCAGTATTGTACTATTGATCCCTGTTTCACAAGTCTAGTAATAATGGATATTAAAGTAGTTAACTTTCTGTCTGCTATTCTCTCCACGAATCCTTTCCGTAGGGAGCTGTCATATAAACCAATCACCCAAACATTGTTGGCTCGCTCACGACCACGGTTGTATTTTTTCTTCAGTAACACAGTTTCGTCCACGTGCACGACGATGCCTTCTCTGCCCAACAACGAAGTAATTCTCTCCATTTCTCATGATACGATGTCTCTGCAGTGCTGGTACCATTGAACTATTGACACAAGGCTATTTTCGGTTTCAACAGCCGCGCCTCTCACAAGCTGTTTTAAAACCCAGTAATTACAAATATACAAAATCTGAGTTAGGGAGAGATGCGACCTAGCAAAAGATGTTCCTACGAAATATTAAAATTATCAGCTTACCTCCTCTAATACTAACTCATCTCAAACAAATTGCACAACGATGGACATATCCATCAATCCGACCTGTTAAAGCTTTTTAAACTCATGACACTACCACATGAACAAATCCTCTCCTTCCTAAGCAACCCCAAATCCAGGCAATACCTGCAAAACCTTATCCTCCTCGAACTGCAAGCGTAAAAGTTCGTTAGAGCGCGCATTTGAAACGAATCAAGAGCTATACAACCTTGAACTCACGTACCGTGCATGAACCTCATTGAACCATTCGAGGTCGTTCGCTGATTGGTAGTTAGTGGTGCTTATTAAAGTTTAACTTGGCCCTGTTATACATATTTTGAAGGTTAATAAAATCTCAGCAAAAATTCTGTTAAAGAAGCTTTGGCTTGCTGCCTACACAGCGAAATGTTGAGTAAAAGTCTAGTTTTAATTTTCTAAAACCCATTGGGATTATTTTTCATAATTAATATTACACTTGATATAAATGTGCTCTTTTTAAAAATTGTGTATTTTAGGATTCAATATTTTCAAGAAAAACTCATCATCACAGCATAATTTTGAAGTGAAGCCATCATTACCATCATCATCATCACAATCAACTGTACATGCTCCTTGTTATCGTCCAGATACTACAGTAGTACCTGATTGGTTAAAACTGTTGGATAGACAACAAATTGCTGAAATTTTATCTTATCATAAAGGAATCCATGAATGTATGGATGTGCTGAAATCACCTGATGATGATCTAGGTATGTGTTATTCATTGATAAACTATTGCCTATTACTTATTTATGTATGCGTTATTGTCATTATTATTGCCCTACGCCTCTGAAACCTGGCCTCTCCGAGCTGAGGATGTGCGGCGACTCTGCGTGTTCGATCATCGCTGTCTCCGCAGGATTGCTTGCGTTCGATGGCATCATCGCGTGAGTAATTCTGAGGTTTGGCGGCGTGTGTTTGAACACAGTGGAGATCACCATTGATTGAGTGTCGTCATCTGGAAACACCGGCTCCTGTGGCTTGGACATGTGCTGCGAATGTCATCCCAGAGGCTTCCGTACAGGTGTCTGTTCGCTAGCCCTGGGACGCGATGGAAAAGGCGAGGAGGGGTGGTCAGTCCATGACGTGGCGTCATGGGATGAAGGAATTTTGTGCTAGATTAGCATCGGTTGGTGCGTCACGACTCCCTGGTCGGGGTCCGCGAGATAGCTCGAATCGATGGCTCGAAACGTTATCGGATATGGCCAAGAATCGTAATCAATGGCGAACGTGTTGCAATTTCCTTCTTTCTTCTCTTCCTGATGATACTTAACGAATACTGTTTGAACTTGTTAGTTATGACTTTTCCTTCCCGATGAAGTTCTTTATCCGTTTTCTACTTATATTTTTACTTTTAATCTATGTTGTTTTATTATTATTGTGTGGCGCATCTTTCTTGGTGCCATATTGTACCAAGTTTTTTCTTCTGCGTTTAAATAAATAAATAAATAAAAATAATTGCCCTGGGGTTGCAACTGACTGAGATTCGGTCGATCGAGAGGAGTACTATGGTGGTGTTTGGTTGTGAAGGGAATGTTGAGAAAACACATCGCACTGGTCAACGCACTCGACTCGAACTTATGCAGCCAGTTTGGTAAGAGACTACGGAGAGTTGTCATCTGAAATGGTGACGACCAGTGGTGTCTATCAAGAGGGATGGCCACCGTCCCCACTTCTGCTTAATTTCATCATAGATGTACTGATGGAAATGACCCTAACTGACTTCAGCGACTCAGGGATTGATGTATTACCATCAGGGAATAATCTCGTTGACTTCGAATGTGCAGATGATATAGTCCTCCCTCTGGTGGGTGAAGACGCTGACACCTGAACACCTTGAGCAGCAGTCTTCGAATATTTGACATGCGATTCACTCCCTTAGTCAAATGTGTAAGATAAGATGATGCTACAGGACTGGGCTACATTGACCCACTTCCAGCTTAAAGAAAGGGAGGGAGTGAAGTGGTTGGTGGAGCGTGTTGACCACTTACTTCACTTATTCGGGGAGTTACATCAGCCAGCTCCACCAGATTATTCGCCGACGAAATCTCACTACGGAGACAGAAGGCTCGTTTGGCATTTACTAGCCAGCTTACGCCATCTCTGGCGTAGTATAGACGTGATATCCTAGCTAGCTAGCTGTCGACTAAAGGGCGTGTATATTGCTCAACAGTAGTTCGCTCTGTCCTCCTTGATTGGCTTGCTGTGAGACATGGCCATTGAAAATGGAAGATATGAAATGACCAGTTAGCTGTCTTTGATCATCGTGTGTGTCTGCATTATATCTTCTGTTTTAAGGGGAATTATAGGGTGAGCAATATTGAAGTTAGGCTTTGGTCGAGTGCTAGGTAGAGGGGGGGGAGACCAATCGACGAGGTTGTGAATTACATGTTGAGAGAGATGGTTAGGACATGTGTTACGCATGCCTGGCCTAGTCTAGCCATCGCCTTCCTCGACGGGCAAGGCAATGTTAGCTGACATAGAATCAGGTTTGAAACGAGCTAGCTAGCTGGTGGTGGTCAAACGAAAACATGACTTCATCAGTCAATGAAACCTACAACAGGTAGTTTAAGCCAGTCGACCAGCCACATAGAGAGGTGTAGACTGCCAATCTCTCGTTGTGGTCCTCAGGATGCTTAAGATCCATGATGGCTGGAGACAATTAGTGATATTGCATGGAGGATTTCATTGTGAGCTGACATCAGTTAGAGAACCACTGGAAAACCTGGGAGTACTGGTTGGAGTGGTTCTCTAACTGATGTCAGCTCACAATGAAATCCTCCATGCAATCAAACAAAAATCCCTACAAAACCAATACTTGAAAATTAATCTGATGCTCACTAGCGACTGGCCCTATTTAGGCAGTTAACCTGGGGTTCTAGTGGGAAGCTGTGACCAGTAGGGTACAGCAGGTTGAAGATGAGGCAGTAACTCATCGAAGAAGACATTTCTAAATGGTCGCTCTATGTCGTGAATTGACAGAAGTTAGAATTCAAGGACCATTGGATCGGGTCCCAGTGGCTCAATGATCCACGAGCTCGCTAGCCTTGTAACCAGAAGGTCGTGGGTTCCAACCCTGGCAGTGGGAGCGTACTGCTAAAGAGTCCCAAACTAGGCTGACGAAACAGCTGTCCAGTACTCCCAGGTTTTCCAGTGGTTCTCTAACTGATGTCAGCTCACAATGAAATCCTCCATGCAATCAAACAAAAATCCCTACAAAACCAATACTTGAAAATTAGTGATATGGTTGAAAATCCTTGTCATTGACTGGCGCAGGTGCATTCAATCTTTGTGATTTGTTATATTCAATGAAACTCTATTGTTCTTCCATATTACTATTCCTTTTTCCTCACTCACACTTCTGTTTATTATCCCTCTTTATTCTCTTCTCTTGCTTTGTGTACTACATGGATTGTGGCAACTCAAACACTGGTGCACCCATCTGTGGAAATTTCTATGTTGAAACCAGTTAGTCAGTCAGTCAGATTGCACTTTTCATATTTAAAGGTAATATCGGAGTGTGAATCTTCCTGCTTATTTATCACTTCTCAATAATTTGTTATTTTTTGAAACTATAAAATGAATTCTGTTATGTACTCTCGTCGCCAATAATGTTATGGGGTCGTTGCCAATATGTGGTTATAGTGTGACCGAGTAGTGTAAATATTCGCTAATGAGATATAAAACGGACGATAACGTACAGACAGACTGGTATTGCTTAGTGGTTGATTTGTCCTGACTCGAAGGAGGGAAATCAGAAGACCACCACCACGTTCACGAATGGATACGTGTATTTTCCAACAAGGGAAAAATTAACTGTCACACAAGAGTGTGAGTGGAAAAGTACTAAAGAGTACGAAAAAGTGTGAAAGAGTGTGAATTAACTATACAATACAAAAGTCTATACTTGAAAATGACTAATATACTTGAACCACTAAGATAGACAGGGGGTTTTTCGTACCACCAACTGGATTCTGATTGGTTGTAATGTCATGTGACAAAAAGGTTATACATTGTTTATTTATTTGAATTTAAATTTCCCCGTCGATTGATTGGACTGAAGTGTTCGGTATATGGGCACTATGGACACTGAGTTCGAGCCTTGGTGGGAACATCATCACTCACTGAGAAATGCAGGTACATCCAGCTGGCGGACGAGTCCCAAATAGGACGAAATGCGCGTTATCCTGGATTATTCCACTGCTAGTCACCATCCACCAATTAAATTCTAATTAAATGCCCAGACATCGTCGAAGCATCTGCACAAGAAGCCGACATGTCAACCTGAGACCAAGCACTTCGGTACAATCAATCGACGGGAAAATCTAAAATTCAATTAAACGGTATTATTATATACTGCATGACAAAGTTTCGAAAACACCTGATTATTGTTCATAATCATAACATCAATTATAATCACACACGACTTCGAAACTTGAGTTTTATAGTTTTCTTTGTTCTCTCTCCTATTTGTCGTAGGGATGTCTGGGTGGACAGGTGTTGAATCATTCCTATTACACGTGTTTTTGCAGTTGATTCGACAAAGAAAGCTTCCGTTATCCACTTCTCTCTCTTCCCCCATTCATCCTGTTTTATGAGGTTTTAAAACTGTCATCTTATCCTATCCTATTGTATAGTTGTGTTGTGCGTAATTGCATTCAGTGCTTGCTATAGCTGAACTATTCTGCGGATTTCTTTTCTTAGTGTCTCAGTGTAGGGTTAACTAGTCTAGATTTTGCTAGGTTTATGTCCTCGGCTAGTCTGACTGACTGACTGACCCCATTCTATTCCTCTGACCGTATGTATTTGACTTAACAATCATTCCAGTAGGGTATTATTAGATGCTCCACAGAGTCTTGTAAACTAGATGGTGGGGAGGGGAGTTGGGTTCAAGAGTTCACCGACAGGGAATCCAACCCAGACCACTGGCGTATGGCTGGTGAACTACTGCCGCACTGCCTTAGTCTTGTTAGAAAAACCATAATCATATCTCACAACCAATAACAACCCTGGACATTGTTATCTTTTCTCCTTCGCATTCATCATACGTGTTTATTTAAATCTCATATGTGTGTATATCACGTGAGTGAAATCACGTTGCAATTGAAAACTGTGGGGCTAGTCACACACACACTGTCATATACAACATTACATGTGATTAATTTTTGCTATTCAACAGGCATAAAAAGCAGAATAATACTTCCTACTATTGACCCAAGTAGGTCCTTCTATTATACGGGTCTGAAACTTGGCGGATAACGAAAAGGATTTCCAACAGGTTGGAGACTTTCATCAACAGCTGCCTTCTCCGCTAGCTTCATACTGAAGATCAAATGACCAGAAAGAATTAGTAACAAGAAACTCAGGCTGGGAACAAACCAACCAAGAGCCGATCGCTCAATAAATATGTAGGGGAAAATGGAGATGGAAGTATCGGGCGTACGTTGAGGAGACCGTCGAATGACACTGCGCGCAATGCAGGCCATCGCTCGAGTGGAAGCGACGAGAGGATCATCGGTGACAGGGTAACATGGAGGAGATTGTGTGAGTTGCAGGAGGAGATGAGAGATTATGGGCAATTGTGAACTAAGCTGAAGAGGACTCCAGAAAGTAGAAAAAAGTGAAGACGTGTTGTTGAAACCCTATGTTCCGGTCGGAACCCAAGGAAATAATAATAATTATTATAAAACTGTTGCGTCGGTGGCACAGC